CCGACAGATGTAGCTTGTACCACGTATTCAGTGGCATAATAGGAATGAAATTTTCTTACTAATTTCAAAAGTTGATAGTCGCGAAAAGAGTGACTCACCAGAAAATACTAAATAACTCTGCCCGTTGATTAGCTTATCACATGCTCTGGCCGAATATTGCATGACTAGTGGAAAGAGATACGGTATTGAGTAGAACATGAAGCACAGCGAGATGTAGAAGACACATCTGAAAAATGGTTATTCCGAATCTGTCAATCTGTTTTCAGGTAGAGGGAGAGAGCGAGGGGAGAGATCCGAGGCAGCGTTCGGAAACTAGCTCAGCGCACGCGGACCGGCGGCACGCACTAACGTCTTGCGTACTCCATGCGCGAGACGCTAGTGTCGGTTTCTTCGTGTCGCCACAACTCGGATTTGCTGACCTACACCCGGGAAGCGGGAGTAATATAATGGACTTCTAGTACTTTTTCTTTCATAGCCCATGCGAAGTCGCTTAGCGGACCGATAGAGCAGCTTATACCACCTTATGCCACACCCTCCAAGGGTTTCTGTGCCTCCTTCAAATACGTTCGAAATTTGCAATTTTGAACCAGTTCTGTTCCTAAGCGACACGGAGATCTCGCGATTACGTGGATTTGGAAGACCGCCCAGAAACGTTTCATCCTCTCGACTGCTTCGCATGTCAGGCTACAGGCTCACGCACAGTGCTTCACTATTCTAGTGGGTCACTACTCTTAGGCCGTATATGGTTAGAATGTCTGCGCGGTTGAGACCTTACAAACTCTCTTTCTACCCGAGGATTACTACAATTTCAAGTCCAGGAAACCCCAAAAACCATTATGGTGTTCATATGACCGCCGTGTCGCCATCATGATCACAACCTGAATCGTTTATCGGAACTTGCTCTATCTATCACAAAATATATTTGAGGACGGTCAGGGTTACTGTAGGTACAGACTGACGGAATTACAGTCTTATCCGCTGCCGACGCCAAGGCCGCGTGCCATGAGGCCTGGTTTTGACGCGGCGCCAGCCTTTTCCCCTCCAGTCCTGAAATATGGCAAGCGACCACAAATGGTACGTGGCGCCGCGCCACTCATAACTTTCCTCAGCCCTCACACGCCCTAGTATCTGCAGCGAACAAGACTGTACCGTCGTGCACGTCCAAAATGCAGAATGTCTACCCAAATTTCATCAACAATACTTATCGTAGAAGCCCATAAAGGTGTCTTGAAAACCAGTACTCAGGGCCACCTATCAGTAGGTCCAGTCGTGCGCCTCGCAAACATATCAGTGGTCGCGCGCGATCTGAGCGGCAAAATCGCGCGGCAACTCCAAAAACTTTAGTTTCGCTCACAATGTCTAAAATGCAACACGTAATGGTGCCAAATTAAGAAGAAAGCCCTCCTCAGAAAAGAAATGAATAAGGTTGCTTCTTGAGGAATCTTTTGTAAGCACATCAGTGGAGGTTTTCTGGGTTTCGTTTCATCTAATACGGGTGGGCGTACCA